AGAACCCAAAAATCAGTGATTGGTAATACATCCATGTTCAATTTAGTTCAAAGAAATGTAGAAGAAGAGTGAATCTGTTTTTATTTTGTAATGCAAGTCTTACGGAGCAAAGTTTTTACACTTACTTTTATACAAACTTCAGTAACCATGGTTAGTCTTAACCATAGATCAATTAACTATAGTTTACTCAAACTAACTCTAACTAACAATTCTAACTAATCAACTACATTACACATCACATTTGACTAACATTTAACTACTAAATTATACAATATTTAATAATCCAAGACCCGCCCTCAAGTTGGTGGGTGATGAATGTCAATTACTCTTAACTTGGACGATAAATGGTGATGTAAAGTCCTGAAAGAGCCTTAGTAAATAGATCTGCAGGCTATTCATGAGTAGGAAGAATCAACCCCTCCTTAAGCTTGGTACGCACAATGTGACAATAAATATCGATATGCTTCGTGCACTCACGAAATATTTGATTTGAAGCAATATGAATGACAGATTTATTGTCACAGCACAGAGGAATTGGATGCTGGAGAGGAAGAGCTAAATCAGTCAAGAGTTGTGTCAACCAAACAAGTTCACAAACTGTGGTGGCCATAGCGCGATATTTTGCTTCAGAGGAGGATCGAGAGATTGTAGCTTGCCTCTTTGATTCCAGGACAGCGGAGAACCTCCTAGGAAAATGCAGAACCCAGTAATGAACTTACGAGTCATCAAGCAAGATGCCCAATCTGAGTCACAAAAGGCCTGCAGGCGAAGAGAACCATGAGCAAGGAAGAATAAACCCATACCAGGGGATTGCTTAACATACCTAACCACTTTTAGAGCAGCTTGAAGGTGAGAATCCCTAGGCTGATGCATGAATTGGCTAAGGAGATTTACTGAAATACTGATATCAGGTCTAGTCAAGCATAAGTAAAGCAATTTACCAATGAGTTTTTGATATATGGAGGGATCTTTTAATACAGAATCTGCCTATCCAGGAAATTGCTCATCATATGCGGCTGTAGTAATTAAATTTTATATTTGGATCAAGAGGGATTAAAGATGGCTGGGCAACAACTAGCCCTGATTCGGCAATCAACTCCAAGGCTTACTTCCTTTGGCATACAGTAATGTCTTTGGAAGATCTTGCAACTTCGAATCCCAAAAAAATACCTAACAGCTCCCAAATCTTTCAACTTAAAATGTGAGTGTAGCAAGTCTTTAGTAGCTTGAATGAGTGAAGGATCACTACCAAGAAGAACTGAAGGATCACTACCAAGAAGAACTAAATCATCAACATAAATGAGCAATAGAACAATCTGACCTTGAACTTTCTTAAAGAATAAAAAAAAAGTGGTCTGATGGGGACTACTCAAAACCTCCCAACAATAGTGCAGCAGTAAGCTTGGTATTCCAAGCTCTAGAGGCTTGCTTCAAGCCATACAAAGACTTATGAAGCCCACAAACCAATGCCTTATCATGTTGTTTAGGAAAACCTTGAGGTAAATGCATGTAAATTTCTTCTTGGAGATCTCCTTGAAGAAATGCATCATCAACATCCAAATGATAAAGTGGCCAATCTCTCATGGAAGCAATAGCCAATACAAGCCTCACCATTACGATCTTCACTACAGGAGAAAAAGTCTCCTCATAATCAAGGCCAGGTTGTTGAGTAAACCCTTTGGCAACTAACCTTGCTTTGTACCTTTCTAAAGTACCATCTGCCTTAAATTTCAGCTTATAAACCCATTTGCATCTGATTGGAGTCTTACCAGGAGGTAAGGGAACTAAAGGCCAAGTCTCATTTCTTTCCAAAGCTTGAATTCCCTATTGCATAGCAGCAATCCAATTGGGATCTTTGGATGCTTGGCTGAATGATGTAGGTTCGGTAAGAACTAAATACTACAGAGGCATTTTTGATAATTGGGTGAAAGATGTGTATACGATATGTAGTTTTGTATAGGATATTGGACAGTGGCTGTTAGATTGGATTGAGGCAAGATGGAGAAACAAAATCGGTAGTACATATGGGTGGTTTAATTGTCCTGCTAGATCTTCTAAGCTGGGTAGGAGAAGTGGGATTATCATATTCTTGAGCCATGAAGGTGTCTAGGAAAATTGGTTTGTTAGAAGGATGCCAAGTAAAAGGAAATATATGCTCATGAAAGATCACATCTTGGTTAATACAAACAAATATAAAATGTAAATCATACAAGATATAACCCTTTTTTGTGGAGGAATAACCAACGAAAACACAAGGTGTAGATCGTGGAGTGAACTTATCATGAGGAACCAAATTGGTAGCATATGCCAAGTAACCAAAAACCTTTAAATGATCCAAATTAGGTTTAGTCCCAAGGAATTTTTCATATGGTGAAAAACCATCTAAGACTCTAATAGGCAAGTTATTAATGATGTATACTGCAGCCTTAATCACATAACCCCATAAGTAATTTGGGATGCTAGATTGAAATTTAAAGGCCTTAGCCATATTTAGGATATGTCTATGTTTTCCTTCTACCACTCCATTCTACTGTGGAGTGTAAACGCATGTACTTTGATGTATGATACCTAAATTAGCTAGGAGTTCATGACATTGGTGATTAAAAAACTCTAGTCCATTATCAGTTCTTATGTATTTAGGTGCTTGATTAAACTAATTCCTAGCCATACGAAGGAAATCTTTCAATGTTTGAAAAACATCCAATTTGTATTGCATAAGAAATAACCATGTTATCCTAGTGTAATCATCAACCACAATAAGGAAAAATCTAGCATTCCCTTGGGTAGGTGTCTTATAAGGCCCCCACACATCTAAATGTAACAATTCAAAAACATGTGAAGAACTTGTATCACTTGAGGCAAAAGGTAGCCTAATTTGTTTAGCTAATGGGCAAACATCACAATGAAAATCATGTTGCTCAGGTAAATGATTATGTATTTTCTTAAGGACTAAAAGTGGTGCATGCCCTAGTCTTTTGTGCCAAATTACTATATTTTTAACATGTAATGCGATGGACAATGCTGAGGACAAACAAGCAGTTTTTATTAATGAAGCAGTAGGTACAATTGAAGACTTACAAAGAGTTTTATTAATGCCTAAATCAAAAGAATGCCTATACGTAGCTTCTTTTATTCCTAAATCTGAAGTATGCGATTTTATTTGTGAATTAGGAACAAAATGATACAACCTTAGGCATTGCTTACCAATCCCCCTCAGTTTGCCACTCCAGAGATCCTGTATAACACAAAAATCAGGGCAAAATGTGACTGAACAGTGACCAGCTGAAGTTAATTTGGATATTGACATCAAATTGTATTTGAAATCTGGTACGTATAAGGCCTTATCAAGACACAAATGTTCTTGCAATTTTACAGAACCAACATGTCTAATAGGTGTTTTTGTGCCATTTGGGAGACCTACATAGTTTACTATAGGTGATTGGCTAACAACAGTTGATTCAAGATTCTGAAAATTATGAGTCATATGATCCACAGCTCTTAAATCTAATATCAAATCGTCAGTATTTAAGCTAGAGTACAAAGAAACAATTTTACCTGCCAAGTTTGCAGATGGTGTCGAGAGGTTCTCCTTCCCCAACAATTATAACAACTGAGCATATTGCTCTGGTGTCAGCACATTTCCAAGATTGGTTCCAAATTTTGAAGTGATCGATTGTGTCTAAGAAGCTAATTCCTAGTTTGATTGAGCTTGATTAGCCTTAGCCCTAGTCCATGATTTCCCTCTGGTGAATTGAAAATCTACTGGATATCCATGCAGCTTATAGCAACTTTCCTTCTTATGTCCTAGAGCATGACAATAATCACACTCTAAATAAGGTTTCTTTCCCTTATATTTTGGGTTGTGATTCTGATTCTTCTGGCCTTATGAGTATAATGCAGTGGTGACCTCTGTGTTGTTTTTAAAACTAGTCAGAACCTTCTGGCTTTCATCCTGACTCACTATAGAAAACGCCTATTTCACCGAGGGTAGAGGAGCCATCAACAGAATTTGGCTTCGTACTAAGGCATAAGAATCGTTCAGACCAATCAAGCATTGTAGTAGTTTATGTTGATTCAAGTGAGCCAAATAAACCTTGGTTAAATCACTGTCTAGTGCTAATAAGCTTACTAGTGAACTTAACTCATCCCAAAGAGTCTTAAGTTTGTTGTAATACACCGTAATAGAGCTGGTTCCTTGTACCAAATTCACAATTTCTCTATGAATACCGAAAACTCTTATGCCATTAACCTTGTATTTTTCTTGCAAATCTTGCCACATTGATGTGCGCTACTCGAATATACAATACTATTGAATATATCTTTTGAGACCGTGTTAAAGATTCATGCTAACACCAAGGAGTTACATCTTTCCCATTGCGCATGCAAGGATTGATTGAACTTCGATTTTTCACAAGAACCACCGACAAACCCTAGCTTGTTCTTCGCCCTCAAGGACACGATCATAGCTCGACTCTATATCTTGTAATTCATTATCCCAATGAGTTCTCTGAAATCAAGATTGAACTAGGAGTATCCGAAGGATGGATGTAAAGAGGTGAGCTTGAATCTGTCACCATTTCACCAACTCTAAATCGCAGCTTCTTCGAGTAATTTTCAGGTGAAAACAAGCTTAATCAATCGTTAAAGCAAAAAATTGGTGAGTTCGATTGATCTTCGAATGAAATCTAAACAATTTCTTCTTTCAATGCTGGCTAATTTCTGAAAGGAAGAAGCGATTTTGCAACTTGATGAAGAGCTCTAATACCATGTTCAATTAGTTCAGATTTTATTTTGTTATACAACTCTTATAGAGCAAAGTTTTTACACTTACTTTTATACATATTTCAGTAACTACGGTTAGTCTTAACCATAGATCAATTAACTATAGTTTACTGAAACTAACTCTAACTAACAATTCTAACCAATCAACTACATTACACATCACATTTGACTAACATTTAACTACTAAATTATACGATATTTAATAATCCAAGAGCAAGTGGAATAAAACGAATATATAAAGAACAAATAAATTGTTTTTAGTTCATACATGTAAATTCCCATTAAGGGTCATGGGCAAGAGTACTGTATGCATGCTTTACAAGTTTTTTGAGTTGTTAGCAAGCAACCTTGAGCGCGGACAAAATTGAACTGGAATTATATCCACAAATTAATACTTAATAACATGGTGGCGTAACCATAGTTCATACATCACCATGTGGAATGCATCATATTTGATGGGAGGCGAATTCCAGTGGAAGTGCTTCTGGACCTGAAAACATGGCACGATAAGCATTCATTATAGATTGTAAGCCATAATTGTTGAAAAATTGATACCCGATTTAAAAAATAATAATAATAATAAATAAATTGATTTCCTTAAATATTGGTAACTGAAGTGATTATTTAAATTTATAGAATGACAGTTCACAACACGAAAATTTAACTATTTCAAGTGCAGTGAATAGCTTCTACCTTAACTAGGTTCTTATGCAGTGAAACAAATTCTTCATCTGATATGTTCTTGAGTATTTGCTTGAGCTGGTAGACATCATTTTCTTTAAGTACGACAGCAAATTTTCGCCAGTCCAGAATGTCATTGAATGGCAGGTCATAATAGTCCGATAATATTACTGAGAAAAAAAAGGGTTATGAGATGGTAAATAAAGAACAAAACTACATGTGAAAATAGCATCCAAGCAATAATCAAGACCTTAAAGTTAGATAACTGCACACAAAATCTTAAATTACAGAATATTGGTTAATTAGTAAGATCAACTTTAATCATACACTCCCAGCCAATTTTGTGTTTCCTCCTACCAAAACTCCAGCACTACTCAAACAACTTCGGCATTCTGAGTGGTATAGCAAACAAGCAGGACATTATCAATTAGAACAATTTCTCTTTTTTTCTTTTTTCTCTACCATTTATTTATTTTTTTTTTTTTTTTTTTTTTTTTTTTCTCTCTGGCAGAAAAGTAACTGATATCATATGCTAAAACAATAGATGACTCGAGACAAAACTATCCTTTTATCCGGTGAGTCTTATATGAATAATAATAAACAACAAGAAGAGAAAAAGAAAATGGAACTGTAATCCAACTATTGGTATATAGTCATTGTATCATCTGATCAAAAGCAATATCGAAGAAGCCATCTACTAAATCTAGTGCAAAAAGAAAGTACTAAGAAGATGAAAAAGAGTATGAGTTGATTAAGCAAAGTGAGCGTAATGTCATCATCATATTGTTAAAACAACAAAACAAGCAATCTTTAATGTAAATGCTATAGTCATTCATTCTCCTGGAGAATATGCTGAAGACGATGAGAGAGCGAGAGAGAGAGAGAGAGAGAGAGAGAGAGCTTTGTACAAATGTGGTTTTTGACCGTTAGATTGGAACCAAGTGGGGACTTTTTAGATTATACAATTTCAGTATTAGTTTTTGGATTTAGGGGGTTTTGAGTCCTTTAAAATTCAAAGATGTTATAATCATTTGGTCATACATTCATCAAGGGTAATTCAAGGAGAGAGAGAGAGAGAGAGAGAAAGAGATGGGGAAATCTTTGTACAAATGCAATTTTTGATTGTTAGATTGGAACTCAAGTGGGAATTTTTAGATTATACAATTTCAGTTTTTAGTTTTTGGATTTAGGGGTGTTTGAGTCTTTTAAAATTCAAAGAAGTTACAATCATTTGGTCATACATTCATCAAGGGTAATTACTCTGTTAATTCCAACAAGTTTAGTGTGATTTTTCAGAAGATAATGAAAGTTGTAATGTATTTATTTGATAAGACTCCAAACAATCAATGTTGAAGTCTAACAATCAGGAGGGGAGTCTTAACTCCAAAACTTGAAGAGTTCTCCACATACATATTTAAATTAGGAGGAATCCCTAATTCAGGGCACAAAATTATAGGACCAAGCAATTATATAAAGAACTAGACTAAAATTAGATCATTCAAAATCATTGCTCTTCAATATTATGTTGAAAAGCTAGTAATCAATAAGAGCTGCACCTTGTATTACCTATCAGATGAAGTATTTACAACTTCATCATCACCCAGGGGATAGGAACAAGAGTTTCCTCCACTGTACTGTAAGTATTGCACTCTAAGACAGACCTCTTCGGAATAATTAAGAAGGGTTTTCCATGTGTGCTTACTTACAATATTGTTTATAAAGATTGATCATATGTCTATCCTATTCCCTGAGGTTTAGTGATAGGAAGACTCGTCCATATGTTATGTAAATCAATCAGCTCACGTTTGGAGACATGAGAAAAGGAAAGCATAAAAAACCATAAGTTTTTCACCAAGTGTATGGCTTCATAAGCCACATTTTCCCCAAAGCAGCCAACAAAAGAAAAAAAAAAAAAAATCATAAACACTCACTACACTGAGAGAAATTAACAACTCACCAGGAACACATCCATAATGGATTGAGTCAGCTATACGAGCACTGTTCACTTGGGAGCCACCTGGACATATACAGAATTTAGTTTTGTAAAACCTCTTCTGATATGCAAGAGGTTGTGCAGTAGCCCTATTTATTCTGTTGTTTGAAATGTCAAGTTCTGTGTCATTCTCCCATACACGAGCCAAGATAACTCTAATTTTAGAGTTTCGATGACCAGCCCAAAAACCAAGGGTTTTCCTGCAAAAGAGGCTTAATTTAGTAATTAAATCCTTGAGAAACGTCACAACATCAACCATTATACATATCATCTAGAACGCAAAAAGCAAATATTTTCTTCTCTAAATAATATATTCCAAAATTTATATTGTTAAATCCTACATATAACTTCTGTTACATATATTTGACAGTTACAAAACATAAAGTTTAATTTGCATCATACTACATTTACAAAGTTTGTATCCTATTTGATGTGGCATTAATTTAATACTATCACACTATTTGTTATATAATTCCACCACTCATCCACCAGTTCTAAATAAATAGAACATTACTTGGAATAAAAACTTACGATACAAACTTAAGTGGAGTATCCTTTTCAATTACATACAGAATAAAATGGAGTCAAACAAATCCTAAGTCCCACTTCTATTCTATTCCAGTGCACTGAGTACTAAAGTTTGTAACAATGCATGAATTGTTGTTTTACTTCCAAGAAAACAGCTGCAACATACATTTGCTTAATACCTAGTTTAATTTCCATTATTGACAATGAAGCAATAATCTTTAAAAAATTTCCAGAACATTAATCAGTAAAATTAATGTCAAATTGAATAGCCCAGATGAATACAAATGCATAAGCAAAAAACATAAGTGCAACTAATCGTAAGCAAATAATAGGTTAGTAAGGTAAAGCAAATATAACCTATTTTCCATATCATTTCCTCCTCGGGGAAGAGCAAATGGCTGTAAGACTTGTGGGAGAGCAACATCTTTATGTGGAATGAAGGAAACATCATAACTAGGAGAACACACAACCCGAATTGCATTCTTTACAAGAAACGGAACCCCTTCAGTCGCCCTTACACCCACATCATGACAAGTTACAAAGAAGTGATCAGCACCTAGCGTCCGATTCCAATAAGGATACTTGCTTATCAAACCGTCCAAATAATCCTTAACAATTATTGTCATATTCTCATAAGACGTCCCCTGCATACAATCAATCAATCACTCAACCATCATCACGATAATCTACCAACACAAAAAACAATGGATTTTGACAATACCGAGATGCAAATCCCATAATCATACCTAACTAGTAAAATTTCAGTTCAAACTACTAAAACATCAACCTGACACCTTAAGATGTAACTATGCTAACTCAGCCACTACATCAGTTGGGATACAAACTTAAACTTACTTTGTAAATATAGCTTCATTCAACATCAAATTTCATTCTAGAAAAATTATAAATTTAATACCAAAGTTCAAACTAATAAATCCGTTTGGTTCATGATTCCATGCATTTTAGAATAGTATTTTGGAAAAAGTAAAGTTGGGTTGAGTTAGGTTATCTTTACGAAAAAGGTAATTATTAATGTTTTGAGTTGAATAAAATATAATTGGATTTTGAAAATATTGAAACAGATGTATTTTTGGCTTTATAGGATAGGATATGATAGTAAAATAGGATATAGGATAGTAAAATAGGATACTATCAAAATAGCAATCAAAGGAGCCCTAATAATGAAGAACCTAAATTGGAAATATTAAGACTAGTAATACTAATCCACATAATAAATCATAGCAATAAACTAATGAATTTAAAACAAAAAGAACAGCATTGAACATGGTTAGTACCTTGCCGCGCATTTTATGGCAGGAGATGGGGATGAAGAACAGGTGGGCTTGATCGGGATCCTGAGTTAAGAAAGAACTTTCTCGAATATTTTGAAAGAAATAGCCTTCACTAGCGTATTTACCAGTCAATTTCCTGGGGGTCTGATAAAAGGTGTTGGGATCACCATCAGGGTAAATATAGATCTTGAATTTTTGCTCCATCTCCAAGTAATTAAGATGGAAGATATTTGGCGAGTGGAAAACATTGGAGTGGACGACAGAGACAGAGTCATCTTGGGTGAAGACGAGAGGAATAGAGGAAGTATTTTGAGAAAGAAAAGAGGGAGGGGAATGGAGGGATTTGAGAGAAAGATAAGTGAAGGAAAGAAGAGTTAGAACGGCTAGAGAAAGGAGTGAGGTTTGAAGGGAGCATAAAGTGTGAGACGGCGGTGATAACAAAGGGAGTTGCGGCGGCTTGTTGGCACTCATCACCGGAAATTGAGGGGGATTTGGGTGGAAAGAATGAGCAAGATCAGTTTTTTTCTTTTGCAGGTGGGATTTGGTTTGGATATGTGTGTCACTGTGTTGGGTTTTTCTTCTTTATTTTACTGTGATTTCTGAAACCAGCCTTATAATTTTACTCTGGTCTAGGTTAAATTTTTGGGAATTTGAATCCTATTATAGGTGAACCATAATCAACCATTCATTAATCATAATCAATTATTCATTAATTCATTTTCATGATACTTTAATCATCATTTTATTTTTACATTATGATAAATTGATGATAAGGAAGACATTTCACTATTAAAGTGTCTTATTTGGTAAAAAACGGAACTTGCGTTGAATGCATTCTTTTTCAATGAATTCCTGATAAAGTAGAGTAATGCTAGGGTGACAAATACTCCTCAGAAACTTTTTCTCACAAACACGAAGTATCATCTCGCAATTAGTCAATTTGTAATAGGTCACATTGAATTAAATATGAGCTATCTCGCAATTAGTCAGTTCATAATAAATGTCATCTGATCAAATGTAAACTATTACGTCGCGTTTTTAAGAGAAAGTTTGTGAGAAATATTTGTTAACCAATTCATAAAAGTATCTCTTTTCTTTATTATATTGGATTATAATAGAGTTAACGACCTATTTTCACCCAAATAATGGTTTAATGACACTTTTTTCACCCACAAATTTTTAAAATATCACTTTACGATCCAAATTTATATTCCAACAACAAACAGAGAGCAAACTTAGTCCAGGCTATAAGGGTTTTTGAAGAGGGGAGGTTGATGAGTCTTTTGGTAGTGGAATGTTGGATTTTAATGGTTAGGATTGATTAGAATTTGACTTCGGAGGGATCGTTGCACAAACTCTAATCGCTCGATTGTCGGTGATTAGAGAGATCAACGGGAGTAGGGTTTGAAGGGTTTTGGTGATTGATGATCAGGAAAGAGAATTGTGATAGTGTGGGGTCACAAATGTTGAAATCGGAAACAGAATATAAGTTTAGGTAGTAAAATGGTATTTAAAAACCTATGCACGGGAAAGTGTTATTAAACTATTATTTGGGTAGGAAAAAGTTGTTTAGTCATTGTAATATTCATGTTATACATATCAGCTTCATTACAAATGAATATCAGCTAAATTAATGGATGAAATCTCTTTCAACTTCATAAATAGAGTTGGGAAATTAATTTTATATTTCGATTATGATAGTGAGAAAAAAAGAAGAATATAAAACCTTTTGTTTAATTTACATATTGTGATAACATTCTCGTTTTAAGGTGTAAATTCATAGTTTCGAATTTGATAATTTCAAGACAAATATACAATCATATTTTTCTAAGTAAATGACTTTTTCCCACACAAATAATGTCTAATGACACTTTCTCACCTACAATCTTCTAAAATATCATTTTATTATTTAAATTTATATTTTGTTTCCGATTCCGATTCTGATTCTGACATCGTTGCAACCGCACACCAGCATTATTCTCTTCTTCGATCATCACTCACCAAAACCTCTCAAACTCTACTCCCGTCGATCCTATTAATCGTCGACAATCAAGCGATTAAGAGTTTGCATAGCCGCCCCTTTCAAGTCAAATTTCGATCAATCTCAACTACCAAAATTCAACTTTCGACCACCAAAAGACTCATCGGCTTCTCCTCTTTAAAAGCCCCAACAGTCTAAACCGAGTTTCCCCTTTGTTCACCATTGAAATATAAATTTGAATAATAAAATTATATTTTAAAAGTCTGTAGGTGAAAATGTATCATTAAACCAATATTTAAGTGGGAAAAAGTCGTTAACTCTATTTTTCTATATATATTTTTTTAGATTGAGTATTTGTGTGCATTTAAGTCCTTATTCATACTTCTTTGATTCTTTCTAAGTTAGATGGCAGGATGAGAAGTGTTGTGATGTATGATGATGAGTTGAGTTTGATTGAAGTTGGAAGGAGTTTTGACCAAACCCTATGAGAGTGTTTGCCTTGACGAAATTAGAGTATAAGGGAGTTTTCCTCCCATTTTGGATGGCTAAAGAGAAGAGTGAGTTATAGATAATTAGAGCTTGGTATGCACATGAGTTGTTTGATAAAATGTCTAAGTGAGAAACTGCCCTGTCACAACGTGACCTTCTGAGGGGTTTTGGGCATTTTATGGATTGAACTGGGTTTAGACCAAAACATCAAAGTTGTAGCCCTGTCTTAAGCTTTAAAACGAGACCAAAACAGCCTAGCAATCTGATGTGTATAACGCAAGTTATGCCCTTTTTAGTATGACTTATGCCGAATAACTCATCCATATGCGTTAGTTATGCATTAGAGAAAGAGTAGAAAAATAGTAGATAACTTTGAGTGTGAGCTTTCTCAAGAGAAAAGAGAGAAAAAAAAAAAGAGAAGAGAGTAGGTTGTGCGATGGGGAACCCGTGAGTAATGGGTAGAGTATTCCCGCATGTACGCCGCATTGAGAGAGCGACATGAGCATGAGAGAGATAAGTGGTGTAGCCCGTGAAAGTGCATGCAGATGAGGGTTATACCCGAGAGCACCCGAGAGAAATATTATTCACTCACATGGCCAAGGGTTCTGATCCATGCATAACCAAGTCGATCGGCTAGAATGAGGAGAAGTCACGTAGAGCAGGAGAGCGTCCCGGCCATGCCTCCGGTAAGATGAGGCCGTGACTACTAAAAAGAGTTCATAGAAAAGAGTTAGGAGAAAGAGAAAATAGAGAGAAGTATCAGAGAGAGAGAGAGAAAATAGAGAGAGAAGTATCAGAGAGAGAGTAAACGAGAATCGTAAGGAAAGAATTAGAGAGAGAGAGTTACGGGGATAGATGAGTAGAGGATTTACTTACTGAGCATTAGTTGTGCTCACCCGTTGTTTTCGTTTTACAGGATTAAGTGAGGACACAGTCGGATGGACATCGGTGAGTGAAGGGAAATGGCTACACTGTCCACCTTGTTTTTATGCTTGTACATATATAACTTTTTGTATAAAAAATGTATATGTTAATAAAAGAAAAATTTGGGCCCAACCTTTTTATGCTATTTTATATGCATTTATATGTACATATTTATGAGTATTTGAGTAGAAAGGGCTATTACATATTGTCGAATTTTTATGATACTTTAATCATCATTTTATTTTTACATTATGATAAATTGATGATAAGGAAGACATTTCACTATTAAAGTGTCTTATTTGGTAAAAAAATGGAACTTGCGTTGAATGCATTATTTTTCAATGAATTCCTAATAAAAGTAGAGTAATGCGACAGTGACAAATACTCCTCGCAAACTTTTTCTCACAAACGCGAAGTATCATCTCGTAATTAGTCAACTCATTATAGGTCCCATCTGATCAAATGTGAACTATCTCGCAATTAGTTAGTTCGTAATAAATGTCATCTGATTAAATATGAGCTATCACGTCGCGTTTGTAAAAGAAAGTTTGTGAGAAATGTTTGTTAACCTATTCATAAAAGTATCTATCTTCTATATTATATTGGATTAATAATGGTTTAATGACACTTTTTCACCAACAAACTTTTAAAATATCACTTTACTATCCAAATTTATATTCCAACAGCGAACAGAGAGCAAACTTAGTCCAGGCTGTAAGGGCTTTTGAAGAGGGGAGGTTGATGACTCTTTTGGTAGTGTAATGTTGAATTTTAATGGTTAGGATTGATCAGAATTTGACTTGGGAGGGGTGACTGCACAAACCCTAATCGCTTGATTGCTGGTGATTGGCAAGATCAACGGGAGTAGGGTTTGAGGGGTTTTGGTGATTGATGATCGGGAAAGAGAATTGTGATAGTGTGGGGTCACAAATGTTGAAATCAGAAACAGATAATAAAATGGTATTTAAAAACCTATGCGCAGGAAAGTGTTATTAAGCTATTATTTGGATAGGAAAAAGTTATTTACTCATTATAATATTCATGTTATACATATCGACTTCATTACGAATGAATATCAGCTAAATTAATGAATAAAATCTCTTTCAACTTCATAAGTAGAGTTGGGAAATTAATTTTATATTTCGATTATGCTAGTGAGAAAAAAAGAAGAATATAAAGCCTTTTGTTTAATTTACATATTGTGATAACATTCTCGTTTTAAGGTGTAAATTCATAGTTTCGAACAAATAATTTCAAGACAAATATACAATCATATTTTTCTAAGTAAATGACTTTTTCCCACACAAATAATGTCTTAATGGCACTTGCTCACCTACAATCTTCTAAAATATCACTTTATTATTTAAACTTATATTTCGTTTCCAATTTTGACATCGTTGCAACCGCACACCATCATTATTCTCTTCCCTGATCATTACTTACCAAAACCTCTCAAATCATACTCCTATCAATCCTGTTAATCGTCGGCAATCGAGTGATTAAGAGTTTGCATAACCGTCCCTTTCAAGTCAAATTTCGATCAATCTCAACTATCACAATTCAACTTTCGACCACCAAAAAACTCATCGGCTTCTCCTCTTCAAAAGCCCCAACAGTCTAAACCGAGTTTGCCCTTTGTTCGCCACTGAAATATAAATTTAAATAGTAAAATGATATTTTAAAAGTCTGTAGGTGAAAAATATCATTAAACCAATATTTAAGTGGGAAAAAGTCCTTAACTCTATTTTTCTATATATATTATTTTAGATTGAGTATTTATAACGCCCCACTTAAGGTACGTACTCAAGATTTGCTGTATTGCTTAAATATTTATTGATTCGGTTTTAATTGAGTTTGTATGTTGAGTGGTTTATTGTTTGCTTCGAAATTGGTTGAGTTTTGAGGACTCTTAGAATTGCAGTCCTCGCCGGGGCGAAGAATAGTCTTTGCCGCGGCGACGTTGACTTTAAGTAAGGCGGTGTCGACTCTGTAACTTTTAGCCGGGGCGACGGAAGTTTCTTCGCCGCGGCGACGAGCCAGTTGAAAAGTTTAATGAGTTTCTAGAGAATTCTTCATAGGGGTAAAAATGACATTTCTACCCCTAATTAGTAGGAAAAGTAGGGAGTAAAATGTAAGGAAATTTAGTAGAGTATGTGTTGGAGATAAGGGTGTAATTGCAAAGAATCAAAGGATATAGATGGAATTTCCAAGGAAGAGTAAGGGCAAAATTGGAAATGATGGTTAGAATATGAGCTAAAAAGGGTTAAGTGAAATAAACCCTTCATTTGTCATCCATTTCCACCGCCATATCCATTCTCTAATTTCTCTCAATCTTCCATTCAATTTTCCTAAGATTTCTAAGGGGTTTAAGAGAGCTTTTGAGTAATTATGAGTAGAAATTTCATCTAAAGCATCCTAAGATAAGGATTCTTACTTTAGATGTGAGTTTCGTTTATGGTTATATTGAAGTCTTATATTGTTATTATTGTTGTTGTTGTTGTTTTAAGTTGAAGAGAGAAGACAAGACAATAAAGGAAAGGAAAAGTGCTAGAGAAGTCACTTTTTCCCAAGGTAAGTAAATCCAAACTAAATTGAGATTTAAGAATTCATTTGAGTAGAGATTGTGTATGTATATGTATGTATTATGCTTGCTGAGACATTGAGATGTTATGAGTATTTATCTATATTGATATTGAATATAATTGAGTTATGAGAAGTGTTGTGATTGTATGATGATGAGTTGAGTTTGATTGAAGTTGGAAGGAGTTTTGACCAAACCCTATGAGAGTGTTTTGCCTTGACAGGAAATTAGAGTATAAGGGAGTTTTCCTCCCATTTTGGATGGCTAAAGAGAAGAGTAGAGTTATAGATAATTAGAGCTTTGGTATGCACATGAGTTGTTTGATAAAATGTCTAAGTGAGAAACTGCCCTGTCACAACCGTGACCTTCTGAGTGGTTTTTGGGCATTTTATGGATTGAACTGGGTTTAGACCAAAACATCAAAGTTGTAGCCCTGTCTCTAAGCTTTAAAACGAGACCAAAACCGTAGCAATCTGATGTGTATAACGCAAGTTATGCCCTTTTTAGTATGACTTATGCAGAATAACTCATCCATATGCGTTAGTTATGCATTAGAGAAAGAGTAGAAAAATAGTAGATAACTTTGAGTGTGAGCTTTCTCAAGAGAAAAGAGAGAAAAAAAAAAGAGAAGAGAGTAGGTTGTGCGATGGGGAACCCGTGAGTAATGGGTAGAGTATTCCCGCATGTACGCCGCATTGAGAGAGCGACATGAGCATGAGAGAGATAAGTGGTGTAGCCCGTGAGAGTGCATGCAGATGAGGGTTATACCCGAGAGCACCCGAGAGAAATATTATTCACTCACATGGCCAAGGGTTCTGAATCCATGCATAACCAAGTCCGATCGGCTAGAATGAGGAGAAGTCACGTAGAGCAGGAGCGAGTCCCGGCCATGCCTCCGGTAAGATGAGGCCGTGACTACTAAAAAGAGTTCATAGAAAAGAGTTAGGAGAAAGAGAAAATAGAGAGAAGTATCAGAGAGAGAGAGAGAAAATAGAGAGAAGTATCAGAGAGAGAGTAAACGAGAATCGTAAGGAAAGAATTAGAGAGAGAGAGTTACGGGGATAGATGAGTAGAGGATTTACTTACTGAGCATTAGTTGTGCTCACCCCGTTGTTTTCTATGTTTTACAGGATCTAAGTGAGGACACAGTCGGATGGACATCGGTGAGTGAAGGGAAATGGCTACACTGTCCACCTTGTTTTTTATGCTTTTGTACATAATATAACTTTTTGTATAAAAAATGTATATGTTTAATAAAAGAAAAATTTGGGCCCAACCTTTTTATGCTATTTTATATGCATTTTATTATGTACATATTTTATGAGTATTTGAGTAGAAAGGGCTATTACATAATTTGTGTGCATTTAAGTCCTTATTCATACTTCTTTGATTCTTTCTAAGTTAGATGGCAGAAGTTAAATGTTTTAGACTCCTTAGAGTTAATTTTCATAAACCCTCTTAATTTCACGACAATTAGATGAATCTCTGAATCTTTGGTTGTAACATATACAAGAAAATTCCTCCCGCCACAGAAACATTAAGAGACTCAAATTCTCCGGGCATCGGTATACTCACAAGTTCACATACCCGCTGAGATTTATCTGAAAGGCCATTCCCTTCACTACCCAAAACCAAGCATACTGGGACATCTGCTAAAGAATCCACGAATTCTTGGGACAGCCGTGCCACCCGTCTATCTTCATCATTACTCTCCGGATGTCCAGCTAGTAACTTCATTTGAAACACACCTTTAAGAGCTTCAAGATGATACCAACTTCCAGAAACCATGGGGAGCTGAAAGCAGGCTCCACGGCTAGCTCGGAGAGCTTTCTCATTGAATGGATCACAACAGCCAGGAAGTAGGAAAACACCACCCTGTTGGATAATACCCTTAAAGTCAGATTTCTCTTTGGTCCTGAAATGAATTGATGACAATCAATGGAAACAGGCAGCATTCAAAATGCGAATGCTTTGATGAAGAAATCACAGGAAATTTTGATATATGTTGTTGATCCAATTCTCAGTCAGAATGAATGGATATTAGATATCAAACATAAAAAGATTGTTTAGAGTTACATGTAAGTGCTACTGCATACTTAATAATTATGGGTTATTTGCACTTTAATCCTTATGATTTGGAGTATATTACCCTTACCTCCAATACTATGGTATACAAACAGTCCAGTTTAGTTAGATGAGACTTTTCAATGAAAAGTCCATAACACCCCTATTGTCTTATTCAAATGAAATTAGAAATGAATAAAATTAAAAAATAAATAAATAAATAAGTAAAAAGCATATTGTACACCTAAAAAAAAAATCCTTAAGAATAATAGTTGACATTCAAATATAATATGGGCCATTTTTAGCATATTATAAATCATTCTAATAATTTATGAATACGACAACAGGGGTATTATAAACATTTTATTGAAAAATCTCATCTGATTGGACTAAACATTCCTATCCTATAATACTGGAGGTAAAAAATATACTCAAAACCTTGAGGATGAAAGTGCAAATAACCCATTAATAATTAGATGTCTAGTTCAGCCATGTAGGATGAGTATCAGCATTGAATGTCCAAACCTATGAATAATCAAGATAAAAAGAGAGAGAGAGAGAGAGAGAGAGAGAATAGAAGGAAGATAGAAAGATAACTAGAGATCCGCAACCATTTTCTCACCCATTTAAAGGCCATAGCTGATCTGAGCAATGTACCTAGGTTACCTGGGTCCTGCAGGGAACAACTCTCACACATTAGTGATGTGAATGCCCATAATGATCCTGACATCAAATGCCCGCTAATATGAACTAAAGATTAAACAGTGTTTACAACTAAAGGTCGAATCAACTTCATATTTTATCGCATCAAGCTTCAGGTGAAAACTTTCATGATATATCTTCAAAGAGTAATGTTACATTTACACCACTATTTTACACCATTTTCATTATATCATGATGTGACATATACTCCAACCACACAAATTTTTAATTACTGAATTTTTAATATTATAATAGAATTTGTGTGGTTGTAGCATATGCCACATCATGATGTAATGAAAATTGTGTAAAAAAATGCTGTAAATGTAACATTACTCATCTTCAAATACATACTGACATCATCTTGCAACAAGATGAATCAACTAACAAATTCAATGCCTGCATTTGCAATTTTCCCTGTGTCCATATATGTCCATCAACCAATATGATGACAGATATATCATTGAATGAGTTTAAGCAATTGTTGCATCACAAGGTTTGTAACAATCACAGAGTGAAGTTTACCATGTGCACCTGGAAACCTGAGAAGATTTTCGACTTGAAATTACTCTATATTTTTTTGGGTATATTTTCTGTAGCCATTATATTAATAAGTAGATATTCAGTGAGGTTGGTATCAGAGGACACGGCCAACCCCAGTGATCACCTGTTTACAAGGATCCTAAGACATCACAATGACAACACCAAGAGGTACACACTACATGGTGCCACTTTTAACACAGTAATGCAAGAACACAATCAGAGAAGAAACTTCAACAGAAGTGCAAGTGTGACAGTTACCTGAATCCCATCGAGGACTAGAATTCTGTGACTAGATGGGAACCAACTCTGACAATTTGTCTCTTTTTGATTGACCTCTATACTGATAAAACTTGTTGGAAGTTTCATCAAGGCAATTGCTTCAATAGATTCAGATGATTGTACCCCAGAAATTTTTTTCATCACCACAGAGCTAACACGCACAGTACGAGCAGAAATATCCTCTAGCTCTTCTGGAATTTTCACTTTGTCAAGTAATAGTAAACAATCCATTCTGAAAGATTTATCCTGCAATGACCTTTCATATATTTCCCTGTACATGAAGTATAGTCATAAATAATTCACACTAAACCTATGCAGTTAGTTTCATCAAGTTCCTGATTTCAAAAGTACAAGTCAAGGTTAAATTTTGAACTGAAACATACCAAAGATTACTACGTAAATGCATAATCGCTAAACCTGACATGGTTTTTAAATAATGATCAACTTGAAAAAGCATACTGCAAAATACAAATAAAAGTTATGTACACAGGAGAAACAAGACTGCTGCTTCACATTTGCACAAGAAGACATTGTAAAAGGTCCTCTGATGAATAGTAAGCTTCCAAAGCAAGATTTGAAGCTATTGATTTAGTTTTTATTTATTTATTTTTAATACCCAGAAAGCTATGGAGCTCTATTTTTCACTGAGTTCTAAACTGGGCTACTTCCAAACCCTACAACCTCAGAAGAAAAGGTGCCAGTGAGATACAATTATTTACTAAATAGGTGGCCTCAATGGATTAAACTCCTGACCTCTTGGTTGGAACCAAGGGTCTTAACCACTCAACCTAACCCTTGGTGTTGAAGCAATTGAATTACTATATACAATCTGTCTGGTATATAGCAATCATCTAAGAAGATTGAATACTGCCACTTTCTAACAAATGCTTCTTTATAACACGTTTAGTGGAGAAGGTCTACCATAGTTTTTTGGACCACAAAGAAGTTGGTTTATGTATTTCACCATGTCAACATTGGTTATATCAATAGAAAAGAAAAGCTTACCATGAGAAGAATTATTATTAATCCCTAGTAATATAGATATTTAAAAGAAATCCACTTCCCCTGTTTTTACCATAATTCCCAGGAGTGATATATCGCAACTGTTTCAACTTGTACTTTCTGGTAAATTTTTTCAAGCACATCTGTTGCCAGATGACACCTCTCATAGCTAAGTTGTGTACCCCCATATAGGTTAAGTAACACCATATATTGTAATATTAAAATCCACTCTCTCATTTTTGCTAACAAATGGGTTCAACTCCTAATAACATATATTCACTTAGAAGATTGCATTTCAAAGTGCGTTAGTGGCATACAATAGTGCAATTGTACATTGAAACTTTTCAGCGAAACTTTTTAGCAGTCAAAATATGTGCAAAACTCCGGCCATCATAAACTGGTAGCTTAGTTGACAGACAACAATGAACTAATACCCATGTTGCCATATGCTCATATTGTCACAATAACAGAAGGCAAAGCTCCTGCTGAGTTCCATAAACGATATTCTATAAACAACAGAAATGACTTGGACAAGAGATGCGCTTGGTAGACCTGCGTGAGCTTAAACAATATTTTCAGTTCGTGAGTTTCGATAGTATTATAGCACCATTACCTATAGCCTAAACTTTGAGATTAATGGTAATTCATTTCCTAGTGTTTCCAAATTTGTGAGCAGATTGCTGCTAACACCAATAACATTATTAACCACAATCTTAAACCAAAAAATTCCTATTTTGTCCTTGCGAAATGATAATTGTACAAACGATTACAAATCATAAATCAAACAGTAATAACTTCCCAGTATGATTCTTTTACTTGATATACATAAAACTGACCAAGATTCAGACAATGACAAGAATAATAATCACCAACAATAGCAAATATATTGACCATGTCGATTAGAAAAAAGAGCCTCAACAATTACAAAGAAATGAAATTTCGCGAATCCTATAAAATGATGGAAAGGAGTGACGATAACAGTAAACAAATAAAAAAGTGAAGTGAGAAAGAGAAAGAGAAAGAAGGAAAATGAAATGAAGGCGGAAGAGGAGGTAACCTGATGGGAGTAGTACCAACAACGAGAGCAGAAGAATGAGAGTGGCGATAAGATGAGCTATGGCGGAGCTTGAGGCAGTGTTTGACAAATGGGTTAGAAGTGCTAGAAATGGAATTAACATGAGAAGGCAAATCAAATTTAACCACTCCAGCGCAACCATCATCGTGATTCAAATGAGTTGGTAGCTTGGAATTAGCATTTGTGCGTTTGAAAACAGGAGGATAAGTAACAAATTCAATGCCTGCATTTGCAATTTTCCCTGTGTCCATATATGTCCATCAACCAATATGATGACAGATATATCATTGAATGAGTTTAAGCAATTGTTGCATCACAAGGTTTGTAACAATCACAGAGTGAAGTTTACCATGTGCACCTGGAAACCTGAGAAGATTTTCGACTTGAAATTACTCTATGATTTTTTTGGGTATATTTTCTGTAGCTATTATATTAATAAGTAGATATTCAGTGAGGTTAGTATCAGAGGACAAGGCCAACCCCAGTGATCACCTGTTTACAAGGATCCTAAGACATCACAATGACAACACCAAGAGGTACACACTACATGGTGCCACTTTTAACACAGCAATGCAAGAACACAATCAGAGAAGGAACTTCAACAGAAGTGCAAGCGTGAGAGTTACCTGAATCCCATCGAGGACTAGAATTCTGTGACTAGATGGGAACCAACTCTGACAATTTGTCTCTTTTTGATTGACCTCTATACTGATAAAACTTGTTGGAAGTTTCATCAAGGCAATTGCTTCAATAGATTCAGATGATTGTACCCCAGAAATTTTTTTCATCACCACAGAGCTAACACGCACAGTACGAGCAGAAATATCCTCTAGCTCTTCTGGAATTTTCACTTTGTCAAGTAATAGTAAACAATCCATTCTGACAGATTTATCTTGCAATGACCTTTCATATATTTCCCTGTATATGAAGTATAGTCATAAATAATTCACACTAAACCTATACAGTTAGTTTCATCAAGTTCCTGATTTCAAAAGTACAAGTCAAGGTTACATTTTGAACTGAAGCATACCAAAGACTACTACGTAAATGCATAATCACTAAACCTGACATGGTTTTTAAATAATGATCAACTTGAAAAAGCATACTGCAAAATACAAATAAAAAAATACAAATAAAAGTTATGTACACAGGAGAAACAAGACTGCTGCTTCACATTTGCACAAGAAGACATTGTAAAAGGTCCTCTGATGAATAGTAAGCTTCCAAAGCAAGATTTGAAGCTATTGATTTAGTTTTTATTTATTTATTTTCATACCCAGAAAGCTATGGACTCTATTTTTCACTGAGTTCTAAACTGGGCTACTTCCAAACCCTACAACCTCAGAAGAAAAGGTGCCAGTGAGATACAATTATTACTAAATAGGTGGCCTCAAGGATTAAACTCCTGACCCTTGGTTGGAACCAAGGGTCTTAACCACTCAACCTAACCCTTGGTGTAAGCATTTATTACTATATACAAACTGTCTGGTATATGCAATCATCTAAGAAGATTGATACTGCACTTTCTAACAAATGCTTCTTTATAACACGTTTAGTGGAGAAGGTCTACCATAGTTTTTTGGACCACAAAGAAGTTGTTTATGTATTTCACCATGCAACATTGGTTATATCAATAGAAAAGAAAAGCTTACCATGAGAAGAATTATTATTAATCCCTAGTAATATAGATATTTAAAAGAAATCCACTTCCCCTGTTTTACCATATTCCCAGGAGTGATATATCGCAACTGTTTCAACTTGTACTTTCTGGTAAATTTTTCAAGCACATCTGTTGCCAGATGACACCTCTCATAGCTAAGTTGTGTACCCCCATATAGGTAAGTAACACCATAATTGTAATATTAAAATCCACTTCTCATTTTTGCTAACAAATGGGTTCAACCTCCTAATAACTATATTCACTTAGAAGATTGCATTTCAAAGTGCGTTAGTGGCATAAATAGTGCAATTGTACATTGAAATTTCAGGAAATTTTTAGCAGCAACTTTTTAGAGTCAAAAATGTCAAAACTCCGGCCATCATAAACTGGTAGCTTAGTTGACAGACAACAATGAACATCCCATGTGCCATATGCTCACATTGTCACAATAAGAGAGGCAAAGCTCCTGCTGAGTTCCATAACGATATCTATAAACAACAGAAATGACTTGGACAAGAGATGGCTTGGTAGACCTGCCTGAGCTTAAACAATATTTTCAGTTCGTGAGTTTCGATAGTATTATGCACCATTACCTATAGCCTAAACTTTGAGATTAATGGTAATTCATTTCCTAGTGTTTCCAAATTTGGAGCAGATTGCTGCTAACACCATAAACATTATTAACCACAATCTTAAACCAAAAATTCCTATTTTGTCCTTGGAAATGATAATTGTACAACGATTACAAATCTAAAATCAACAGTAATAACTTCCCAGTATGATTTTTTTACTTGATATACATAAAACTGACCAAGATCAGACAATGCAAGAATAATAATCACCAACAATAAAATTATTGACCATGTCGATTAGAAAAAGAGCCTCAACAATTACAAAGAAAGAATGAATTTCACGAATTCTATAAATTATGGAAAGGAGTGATGATAACAGTAAACAAATAAAAAAGTGAAGTGAGAAAGAGAAAGAAGGAAAATGAAATGAAGGCGGAAGAGGAGGTAACCTGATGGGAGTAGTACCAACAACGAGAGCAGAAGAATGAGAGTGGCGATAAGATGAGCTATGGCGGAGCTTGAGGCAGTGTTTGACAAATGGGTTAGAAGTGCTAGAAATGGAATTAACATGAGAAGGCAAATCAAATTTAACCACTCCAGCGCAACCATCATCGTGATTCAAATGAGTTGGTAGCTTGGAATTAGCATTTGTGCGTTTGAAAAGAGGAGGATAAGGGGGTGGCCAGGATGAGTTAGGGTATTGCATCCTTCTTCTCTCCAAAACATACACTCTAAAACCTTTATTAACAGAAATAATCCGGATGGACCAAACTACCCTTATTTACAAATTACAATATCATTTTCTCTTCGTTTTGTTCTTTCTTTTGATTTCTTTTTTCGTTTCCTTGGATATTGACCTTAAACATTGGGGTTGTTTAGTAATTTTACTTTTTGACGGGAAGTTGGAAAATTCGTTTGCACGCTTTTGTCTGTAATACAAATTGATATAACAAGAACTTAGAATACAAATTCTTGAAGTTGTTGAATTAGTATTTGAAAATAATCAACTTCGACATAAAAAAAAAAATAATAATAAAAAAATTTAGGTTTTACATCATTACATGACTAAAATTGAGGATAAAATTGATACTAGAATAAGGAAGAAGAGATCTTAAAAATCTAAAGTTACATATATATTTGGCATTGAGATTATTTTCTTTATCTACAAAGAGTCTAAACTGAAAAACAAATAAAGCATTGGCTCTTATCTTATATCCTCTGCGATGTAGGCAAAGTCATCGACGATCCTTGGCTGGGAAAATCATCCATTGAAAGTATTGGGTTTTGAGTATACATCCTCTGTGATGTCGATGGTGCACTTGCAGGCATATATAACCTCTCAGATGTTGGTGGCATACCCGTGTTTCTCTGAACAAGTGAAGGTATATACATCCTCTCGGAAGTAGGAGACATGATGTCAGCTTGTTGAGAAGCTGGCACCATGTCATTCCTTGGAGTCGGTCCAGACATGTATAACCTCTCTGTATTCGAATGTAAATTTATATCAGCCCTCAGGGACGTAGAACCTATATGGTCATTCCTGTGGGACGTGCAAGGAATGTATATCCTCTCAGTAGCAGGAAACATGGTGGTATCAGATCTTTGAAATGATTGACCCATATTGTCGTTCAAGTGAGAATTTGAAAGCATGTATATCCTCTCCGAAGTTTGATTTAAGGTCACATCAGTCTGATGAGAAGTTGGAGCCATACTGTTATTCCTGCATGCTAATGGACCTATATTGTCATTCTTATGAGATGTAAGGACGTATGCCCCATCACAAGAAGTTGATGCTGTGTTGCCGTTTCTCTGAGATGTAGGCATATATATTCTCTCAGAAGGTGGAGGAACAGCATCTGACCTGTTTGATGTTAGAGCTGGAGATTCATTCCAGTGAGATATTTTGGGCATATAAATCCTCTCAGACGTTTGTGGCGTAGACAGTGACACTCTTTTGCTTGACAAATCCCTCTCTGTTGCTGGAGGCACAGCCAGTGATGTCCCCCGATTTGCCAATTCCATATCAGCTGGAGACATGAGCACGGATGCTCCCCGGCTTGACATATCCCCATTAGCCGCAGGAGATAGAGATGATACTCCAGGGTCAGATAAATCCCTCTCTGTTGCCAGAGGGATGGGCAGCAACATTTCTTGGGTTGGTGAATCTCTGTCTGATGATGTGGACATGGATGGTGACACTCTTTGGCTAGGTGAGTCTCTCTCAGATGATGGACGCAACACTGATGAAAAACCTTGGCTTCTTATATCTGTATCAGATAACGGAGGCATAGTTAGTTGCACCCCTATTCTTGGGAAATCCCTCCACTGTTGAGCCACCATTTTGATCTGGGTGTAAAACTGAACGCCTGCCTTTCCTGCAAATCATAAAGAGAGAGAGTGAGGAAACTAGAGCTACACTTTAGAAAGCTTGACACTCCCCAATCATGATCCAAAGGGAGGAAAAGATGGAGAGGAATACAAGGTAACTATACCAGAAAAATTAAAGTCACTGGCAAAAGATTCTTTTTGTTCATTAGAGGAGAAAGGCAATGGAAATGGAACAGGAACATTGATCCCAACCTGAATCAAACCAAGTCATGTCAGAAATTTAAATATATCCATAATCAGAGTGGGCTCAAACATGAGTAAGGCTACCATGAATTTATCTCCTTTGTTCACAAGTTCTCCCACCATTCCATCACTATAGGGCAGGAAACTGATCACAGCCCACAAACTAATATAATTCCATATGCACATAAATTTTTGTGAAAGTCAAGCATGCTCAAACCCAAGCCATTTCATGAGACACAAGATTAAATTTTACCAGTCTCTATCTTTGACCAAACTGGTACTCTTCCCTAAATAAAAATTTGAGCAGTAGAGAGTATTTCGACTTCAATTTTTAAACATCTAGCCAACAGATTGAACTTATATTCATAGAGGGTGTTGTCAGATGATTTGTGTCCTGAATGGACCAGCAAGGAGATAAGATCTTGAGGATGACAAGAAAGATGCCTATAGCACACTCTTCCCAAAGAAATACTGAACTTCAACAAGTTAATTGTAAAGGATGAGCTTACCAACCCAGCTTCAATTTCATTCTGGAATTTCCTTGCAGCAAAGCCGGACGCTGTGAATATGGATGTTCCATTCACAAACCTACCTCATTATAAATAAAAACAAGGAGAAATTAATGGGCAATGCACAACTCTACATGTTACTGAAAGAAAATGTGCCAACAATAAAATTTCAATTGTGCCTAAATTTTACAGACAACTTGTTTCCAGGAGTAGAATAATTCCAGCATTTATGGAAGTAGTATCATTACTATTATTTATAAGAATTATGTTAAAAAGCTAACTGGGAAAAATAATACATTACAGGAGAACTGGGGAGCTAGGAAAACATCATTTAAGAAAGCAAACCAACCTGCACTAATCATGCCACCTTAGGAATTTGAAAAATGATTATGCTGAAACACATATTCAGAAAGCCATCTTAAAATTAAGAGGGTAAAAGTTAAAACAAGTACCTGTTTCTGTTTACTATGAGTATGGCATCTTCTAGAGTTTCGACCTGTTTATTGTCACACGAGAGGAGCTGTGTTAACTAATCTCCAATAAATACCACAGAGCTCTTCATACAAATGCAAGACTAATCAAACAATACCTGCATACAAAGTAGAACCGGTCCAAATATTTCTTCCTGCTCAACACAAGATACAGTGCGGTCAAGAATATGCCAAGGTCTTTGGTTCAACTCTTCTTCCACTGAGAATCATAATTACCCAAGTCCATTTATTCTGAAAAGTACAAAGAATTAAAAGAATGAAAAAACAGTACCTTGTAACACTCCATGTTGGGTGTAACATCATGTAAGATAGTTGGACCAACAAAATTTCCATTCTCATATCCTGGAACCTGAGAATTTGATAGTTTGGAATCAATCATCAAAAGTTTCTAAGCCAATGGAAATAGTAAAAGAAAATTAATTAAAGACCACAACTTCTCCAAACATTACATATCCAAAAGAAAATAACAGCAAAAGACAACAGTGATATATTAGAAAAAGGGAAAGCATAAATTCAAAAAGCTATAACAGCAAAAACTTACCAAGTAACCCCAAACACTTCATTTCATTTTCTTACTGATAAATCCCTTTTATTCTCCAGAAGAAACGAAATTTCAGGCCCAGCTCTAACAATCATTTCCTTTGAAATCTTTCTTTTCCTACGATCCGCAAACCCCTAACATTCCAGATTAATAAATTTATTGATAATTCAGTAAAACCCTACATCTATGATTTGTTTCATGAACCCACCTTATCCTATCATATACTATTAATGTTAAATTCATTCTTTCGCTATGATAGCATGTGTGAAGCTATCTCACATTGCCTAACACTTGGGTTTGACATAATTTTATATACATATGCTCTTCTACCAAATACTAAAGTTTTTAGGTTGGTTTCTCTATCATGGAATCAAGCCTATCTACGTTAAGCCCATCTTGTAGATCCATTTTGGTGTCAAGTTGTATCATTTCTACATTTGCCTACTTTGATAAGGCTATATCCTCAGAACTTTCAAAAGACCATCCATTTATGTCTCAAGTTATATCATTTCTCTATTTCCCTGTTTTGATTAGGCCTTATGACAGAGCACTTCTAAAAAGACCACCTTTCTACAAGAACATTCATGAACAGCCAACCATAAGCTTCTTTGAGATTTTGAGATTTTAAGGGTGTGAGAGAATTTCACATTTATCAAATCTTTGTTTAATATAACTTCATGTACCTATTCGGCTTTTTCACCTAATACGAATAATTTAAGCTTTTGGGTGGTATCTATGCTCTGTAAGAAACAACCAAGGAAGTCATACCATCATCCTTCTTCCATTTGGCCATGGATATGTTAACAAAATTTACATGCAAAGCCCATGAATTTTGGTTGTACATGGAAGTCCGAACACAAGAAAATATGAACAAGAATAGGACATATTTCTCTTATTCTATAAAGCAGATTTAACCCTAAGAATGGATGGCAAGCAGAAAAAAGAACAGTAATCACATAAATAATGATAGAACAAAATAAGATATTGTTCTGCTAAAGGAAATTAAATAATTACACACCACAATATTTCTCCCATCAAGAAGAAGTCTAGCGCCACTGTCAACAGCACTCTGAACTAATCTGCTTATACGATCCTTTACCTGAGAATTCAGAAAACACATTAGGAATTATGAGGAAAGAGAAATTTTATAGTCAACAGAATCCTACATACTTACATGCATACATGCATACATAAAAGTACTTGCAAAATGCAAAAGCAATCCAGCAGTAAAAGTGTGTTCTCACCTCCACAGGAAACAAAAAGTAACAAATAACAAAGATCATCCCTAATGATCACATAAAAATTTTCATAAAGTTTTGGAGGCATGTTTTTCACCTCTTTGCTAATAACTGGACCGAGGTCGGCAGTTGGATCTGTTCCAGTATTCACTCTAACTGTTTTGGCAAGCTCCACAAGTTCATCTTCCCTAAAAACAGAATGTTTCATGTGTGAACCAATCAAGTAATTTCCAAAAAGCACCAACCATCACTTTCAACAGAGTAGTAGGAAGTCACAATATGGAAGGTAATAGGCACCATAAAAGATGATAATTTAATGCCAGAATAAATAATATGAAGCAAATTTATTTACTCAAATAAATAGATGAGAAGAAGATTAGTAGTCGAACTCTTGAAGCTTTTATTTAAATTTTCTGTAATATTTACTTCTTCAGGTTTTTTTAAGGTATTTTGACAATAATCCAAATTTTTACATGCTTGGATTAATTTTAGGTGATTTCAATGTACTTCTAGAGATAATACACCCAAAGGTAAATGAAGTTCAAAAACATCTTGTTATAATTATTTAAAGGGCTTTAAAATATCTCTCTCCATTTTCCTCTCTTTTCTCTTGCTGCTTTCCCTATTCATTCTATCTGAAATAATGTCTTGAGCACAAACTCCGACATCTTTTCCAAAAACTTTTCCCTAAATTCAATAAAGAAGCCAACAAACATCAGACCCATGACTTCAGATAAGCTGCTTGGCTAGCTTTAAGATTATTAAGTGAATTACAAATAAGTAGAGATTCCATGGAATTCCTTAAATTCAATAAAGAAGCTATAATTTCAGAGCCAGAAAGGGAGTCTCTTGGGAACAATTTAACTAAGCTACAATGAAAATCAAATTTTTATCACTGTTTTGACCATAAAAAAGATTATTTGATTTTCTTCACAATCCATCCTTTCATCCCTTTTTTATACGCATGTCTCATCAACAAGTTTCAATTCTTTCTAAGAGGCCACGTATATCAAAGTGAGACAATCCCAAGTGACCAAAATTGAAGACTTAACTAAGTTGAGGTGTCTTCAATGAAGATCCAGTGTAAATATGCATGTCTCATCAACAAGTTTCAGTTTTTTCTAACAGGCTACATATATCAAAGTGAGACATTCCCAAGCGACCAAAATTGAAGACTTAACTAAGTTGAGATGTCTTCAATGAAGATCCAGTGTAAATTACAAACTGTATCTAAAGGTTATATGAGATACCAGACTCAAAACCTTTTTAGGGTTTAGCAGCTATTGGTATTTGTAAAAATGCCTGTCAAAATGCTAAGAGAATCATAATACCATTGCATCGATCCTCCAACAAAAATAGCTGTAGTGAGAGCCATACATCTCTGTCCTGAAGCACCAAAGCCAGAAGCAACCAAAGCATTCAAAGTAGCGTCTATGCTTGCATCAGGCATGATGACTGCATAATTTTTGCCTCCTACATGGGACTAAGAAGTGAAAACAAGAATCAGAGAACAAAGGAATTCATGCAGATCTAAAATATCCAACCAAGACTAGCTAAGCAAGCAGGAACACTTTGAGATAGAAAGAATGGAAGACAAGAGAGATATATAAAAGCAAATGAAGAGTATTCACCTGTACACGTTTCCCCCTAGAAGCTGCTCTGCCATATAATTGTGTGCCAAACTAAAAATTGATAGGAAAAAGGGAAAAAGAAAAAGTCAAGTATCAGGTAATTAATGCCTAGCATAATCTATAAGTCCAAATTAAACATATGACATCATATAGTAAGACCAGATCAAGGAGTTCAATAGCACAATTTTCCATTGCAATCTGTTTGATCAAATTTGCTTTTACAATTTCAGTTAGTTTTTACATGAATAGAGCATCTCTTTTGCATAACCAATATCTTATGCTTCGCAGACAGCACGGAGAATTTTAAGCATACAGCCAACAGAAAAGGAAATGGAAAGAGTAATTAAGTTATTTAGTTTGAAGGGAATTGCATTGAATTCACTTGAAGAAAACCAAATAGTGGCACAAAGATCTTCATCAAAATATCCCAATAAGACTATAATGAGTTTGTTTCTGCATGCATCTCACTTAAAACCATATCTTTATGTGCTGCATTAATCCTATGAATACAGAAGGACCAGAAAGTGACAATTAACTTACTGTGCTTGATCCAACAAATGATAAAGCCTTTATATCATCATCATCACAAATATAATTGACGATATCCTGCTCAAATTTATTTCCAAATAAGAATGTGTCAGTGATAAATTAAGTACCAAACAATGCAGAACATTATACTGTAAGAAAAAAATGGTGTCGCACAACCAAAAGAGAAAGGGAGGGTGGATTTAGAATTCAGGGAGGAAAGTAGAAGTAGAATAGTGGGCATCCCCTAACCCAGTTCTTCTAGCAAAGCCCCAGAACCAAGCCGGAATGGGTCGGTGGTGTCTGTTGGTATACACAATGTAATATTTCCAAGCCACACTGACCATATTATGATATTATAATGCATACAATGCACTATACTCAATGCTTAGACTACGTTTCCACACATGGCCAATCACAAGTAGAAGAAAGGAAGATGCTGCACAGCAAGAAAACAGGGAAGAAAAAACATTCTTACAGAAAGGTCCAAATTCCTCCAAGTTTTGTTTCTAATAGAAGCACACAACTGAAGAACTCACTCATTCAAACAAATGAGAGTTTCTGCACATAATTTACAGGAATATTTTAGGAAAAAAAAAAGCACTCTTTGAATTTTGTTGCTTAAAAAACAATTAATCTCGCATCAGAAACATCAGAGCATATGTATTTTCTCCCACACAGAAAAATGCTTTGGAGCTGTGAGTATTAATATAAGGATTTTTTAATTGCTTGAGGTTCAAACAAAATTAACTCTGACTAGAAATAGGTTTAAATCAGGGGCTACATGCTTAACAAGCAACCACTGTCTCCATTGGAGATCTTTGTTTGCCATCTTCTCTTTGTTATTTGTACTCTACGCACTATATTTAATAATAACTGTAAAGTGCATATAACCAAAATTGAAACACTCTTAAGCATTATTACTATCATATAGCAACAAAAAGAAGGGCTCCAGAGAAGTAGATGATACATTTGTGCCATGAACAACATTCAAGACACCATCTGGCAAACCAGCCTCTGTTGCTAATGCCGCAAGCATCATTGAAGCTCCTAGAGGGAAAGCATGATATAACGTTAACGATGTTGATGTAACAGAAATTCCCATAAGAAAAATTTGTTGATGAAATAAAGCAAGACAAATGCATAAAGTAACCATTCAAAATTCACAGGTAATCATAACCAGAAAGGCATAGCAAACTCTTCTAAGTTTCCATTTTACTTAGCCCATGCAACATTTTGCTGAATCAAAAACTTTGCCACCTAATATTACAATTTAGCTTTGGTCCACTGATGCAACTCAATGAAATTCTTGTTAACCATATTTTATTCATCGGTGAAATGTCTTCATACTTCAAAATTTAATTAAAAAGAGGATGCAGCTTTGGAAGATCTCCTTCGGTAAGGATTCTGCCCAAGAATCCTTAGTTTAATTGGTCCATAAAACAAGTCAATAAGCCATCTCCTGCACTTAGTGGTCATAATTTAACCATGTTAAAACCAAACTTTGAATGAAACAAAATATCCTGCACAATAAACTAAATCCATGCATATATCAGTCAACAAGTTATTACTACCAGCTAGCTAATTCACACTATGCAGCCATGAAAATCCCAGTTGCAGAGTTATTGTACTGTTCAACTGATAAAGGTCAATACATCTTAACATTTCCACTTGGTTTATAAAAGCATCAAACCAAGAATATATCACTATATCACTATGCCAAAGGGGTACCTGGATTCTTTTCAGAGGGCTTAAGAACAAATGTATTGCCACATGTAATTGCAATTGGAAACATCTGCCAAGATAATACAAAAACTATTAAAACAGAAGTCTTATTTTTTCCTTCATAAGTTATGAGAAGAAACTGAAACCTTCTCAACTATAAAACAAAACATCGCAACTCATTTGCTCCAAATTTCTACTCAATGAAAAAGCATAGTACAGCTTAAAAACTATGATTGGACCATTTCTCATAAACTTAAATTTTTGGGATAAGTAGTTGCTCAACATGGTTTTAGAGCCCATTTGATCAAGAGGTCTTGTGTCGAAATCCCTCAATGATATTAACTAATTCATAACCCATAATAAAACAGGCTTGTGTATGCATCCACATAAGAAGTCCATTGACTAAAATTTTCATGTAAGGGTTGTCTTAGAGTTATTGTTGGACCTTTCTTATATGCTTTAGCTTTTTGGATAAATTGTTTCCCAATAAAACATAATGAGTTTCAAAACTTGCAACCAAAATCCTGACCAAAACATCTTCAGTTATTAAGAGGTAAAAGCACTAAAAAACAAACCAGGAAGCAACACAAACATACCCACAAGGGAATCATTGCCGAAAAGTTGAAGGGACATATCCCAGCACAAACACCAAGAGGTTCTCTAATGCAGTATGTATCAATGCCATTAGACGCATTAGGAACAAACTCCCCCATTTGAAGAGTTGTCATTGCACAAGCATGCTCAACCACCTCTGCAACCAAAATGAGAAAGCAAGGAAATTAATCTAGATAAAATGAGGATCAGACTATTATCAATCAACTCAGCTGATGGACAATAAGAACCATACGTAAACAGTACCTAAACCACATAACACATCAGCACGGGCACTCTTTAAAGTCTTGCCCTGCTCTAAGGTAATATTCATGGCAAGCTTGTCCTGAAATTTTTTGTCACATAAAAAATGAAACTCAAGAAAAAATTAAGATAGAAACAGGTAATTAGAAGGAAAACTTCTGCTGCACTTACAATGTCTCTGTGGATGAGCTCTTGGAGCTTGAACATGATGTGTTGACGAGTAGTAACGGGTGTGTTTTTCCATGATGTTAAAGCTTGCTTAGCTGCATTCACTGCATCTTTAAACTCCTCATATGTAGTAAAAGGAACTTCAGAAACAACCTCTTGAGTTGCCTAAACAAAACGAGTAGGTCCTATTAACAAATTTAAAAAAACAATGATATAACGATTCCCTAAAAAAAATGCAACCATATTCACTTTATACACTTACAGGATTTATTACATCCATGCTTGCACATCCTTGCGAATACACGGATTTCCCTCCAATAAAATTAGGAACCTTCAACTACATTAATTTTAATTTAAGTTATAATCTTCAAAACTTTATCAAAGAGAGACAAAAACAAACAAATACCAGACAGGAAGAGAGAGAAACTAATAACAATAATGAAAAAAAAAAATCTGTATGAAGAAAAAGTTGATTTCAGGAAAAAATACACTTATTGACATCATTTCTTTTTTCTCATTCTATATCAACAGTTACCAGATTGCGGTCTTGCTTTAATGACTCCCCAGAGGAAGTAGTGCTTGTGTTCACAGGAAAAGATCTATTAGGTCTCCAGGACTTGAAACTATTCTCTGCACAACATACATTATTTTACTCATGAAAAGTATTGTTGAGAAGTAATGGAGTCAACACCCTTATTTTCAAGAGCAATTCCTCACTGAGAGCATATAAGATACATCGATTAATAAATGTTTGCCTCAACAAGTGAAAAAGTAACAAAGCTGACACCCTTATTTTCAAGATCTTTTCTCCCACTGAGAACATAGAAGATGCATAGACTAATAAATGTTTTCAGCCTGACCGAGTGAAAAATCTCAAACTGAACATTTTTAATGAAACTCAACTCTTATGCACATGCAAGTTTATTACTCAAAGTCCAGTATATCACAGTGCAACTTACTAGAAAAACTCTTCTTAATAAAGATTAGCATAAATCTAAATTGCCAATACAACAAATTGGACCCTAGAGAAGAGAACTGGAAGCATATGAACTTCAGACCAAATAAGTACGCCCCACTAGTTTGGTCCATCTGAGCATTTTAACTCCATCTTATAAATAAATTGAAAAAAACAAAAGGGCATTTCTTCTATTATTTGGAATGCCAAGAAAAGATCCGGGTAATTCTAAAATTATTGCCAATTAACTGCCATGCAATCCATATGAATTCCCTACAGTGACAATGCACCACCCATCTTAGCCAACACATGACTATTTCATCTCAAAAAGCTTGGGTTGGGGTCAGACCTGATATATTTCCTTGACGAATTTTAGCTTTCAGGTTGTACAAATGTCTTGGTGGTACTGCAGCCTGGATTGCTTTGCTTGAGAGCCTTCAGCACTTGACGCGGTTTTATACCAGCTTCAGTCATTACTTTGATTTGCTTCACCTCTTCCTCAGAAAAACGGCGACTATAAGGATGCTCTGACATGTCTTTTAAAGGATCATGGTTGTGGTCTCCATTTTTTATGGTGAGCACCCATTCATCTTCCTTTCTACCTATGCTTTCAAAAGGGCAGTTTATAAGCCGGAGCATGCTTTCCTTTTGCGTTTACTTTCATCAATTTTACGCCTATTACGATAGACACCTCCTCTGTCACAACCAAGAATTACTCTCCTATCCTTCCTAGACTTTTTATGGTCACTACATATCCTTGATTAGCACCAAAGTCACGAACATGCTTGATGAGATCTTCTCGATCTTGAAAGTTGCAGGTGGAGGAGGAAGCATCTTTTTCTGTTCTGTAAGCTCTGTCTGAACTTGAGTTCCCATTACTGAAAGCAAAAAGATTACCAAAATGAAGCTATGGTATAGTTTAAAAAATAAGTTTGTATCGGACACAAAAAAAAAAAAAAAAAAAAAAAAAAAGTATCAAACACTTACATCCTAATTTACACTGAAGCTTAATTATTTGATTTTATTGTATTGTATACTTATTTTTTTAAATAATATAGCACTCATGTCTTGCTAGAAAAGATTCCAACACCCTAATCATTTTGTGTATCATAAATGACTTTAAACATCACTCCACATGCATGATTGAAGATATTTGCTAAGCAGAAAGGGGGAGGGCAGCCTAGACAACCATGAAAATCCAATCCTTAGCTTTCAAGTGTGTTTAATATATGGCAAGTACTGTATGCATATTTAGTAGAGTTTTAATGTGTAAAGCCCTATCTTCGACTCCCCATTTCTTTCCATTAAGCTCCTATATCTGATTCCCCATGAAAATCATGTCCACTACCTAAGCTTATCTTTGTAGGCCACTTGTCACTTGAAATAAAATTTCCAACAGAAACTCTACAATCAAAAGGGAGAAAGAAGCAAACTCCATTTATATGAGAGACATTCGATTAGATCAAAGGAATTTTTTTTTTTTTTTTTTTTTTTTTTTTTTTTTTTTTTTTTTTTTGTGAAGAAGAGTTTCACCTTAACCAATGAAACCATATGAGCACCTCTCTATAACAGCAATCATCCCTTCAAAGTTTCCACAACAGTAGGACCCACGTCTAATGGAGATCATAACAACCTCAATATAGGACACCCTAGTGTTTCGACATGGAACCAAACCTCCTAATTCCTGCATAAACTATTTTTTTTTTTTTTTTTTTACCATGACCAATTAACCATCATCTGAGAATTATTTTTAATTGAATGAAATAACACCACTATATCTTTTAAAATTTTAAGTTCCGGCAAATTTTTTTACATAATCTTATCATATTGTTCAGTAATATGAGAACTCTATCTTTTTGGTCCAAGTTTCTCTTTAATTCCTCATTGAGCACTAAGTTGACCAAAGAACCATGATACTGTGAAGTTCATAGTCTAAACAGCTAGGTTTTCCCTTGTTGATCTTCAAAATTTTTTTCACACAAAGACTTTCCTTAAAGCTATTCACACACGTGAATGTTTTCCAAGATAGTCGATTTTGAACTTTCCACTTAGGTTTCCAATGATGTCTTAATGAACCTCTTGTGCACAAAACTTGCCAAGACATCATCATAATCATTTTTAGATAGTTTCTTAAAGCTCTATTGTACATCACATACATATTCCATGATTCTGCTTTTGAAAAAATTCCACTTAGGTTTGTAATGAATCCATATGTATTCAGGTTCCTTCTTTTGTCAAAATATACCTTCCATGAAACATAGCATCAGAACAGTTTTTTTTCTTTTTCAGCAGACAAACTCAGAATCTGTGAAAATATTCTAACATGTTCTATGCTAAAACTCAAATTCGAAA